TATTCCATTATGTGAATATACCACAGCTTCTCTATCCATTCGTTTGTTGATGGGCACTTAGGTTGTTTCCAACTCCTTGCTATTGTGAACAAAGCCGCAATAAACATGGGTGTGCATTAATCCTATCTTCTTAATATAATAAATACGTCATCACAAAATAAAAAGTATATCAGTGGCTAGGAGAGCCATTTTGAAGAATAAGCCCTCTTACACTCCATTTTCATTTTCAAACAAATGGCTCAGAGTTTAGATCTTTTCCCATCATGGAGCCCTGGTGGCAAAATTGCTAACATCCTTGGCTGCTAGTCTAAAGGTCAGCAGTTAGAGCCCACCAGTCACTGAAACAAAGACGTGGCAGTCTGCTTCCCGGAACATGGACAGCGTGTGGGACAGTCTAGTCCGCACTGCGAGTCAGAATAGACCAAACAACCGAGAGGCCCTCCCTCTGCTTCTCTTCCCCCACCACCCTAATTTGGCTGATCTCTCCGAGCTTTGCACTACACAGCTGCTGCGGTTCATAAGTTTTAATAGACTGGCTCTCAGTACTGCCGAGGCCCTGCTGAGATTTTAAACTAGCAGCTCATTTCTCCTGGTGTCCTAGACTGTGAATGTGCCAGAGGTACACATGGGATCTGATAGCCACATTGCTTTTGCTTCACTCTTTCAGGTAACATTCAGATATCCTGGATTGATGACACGTCAGCATTTGTGTCCCTCAGCCAGCCTGAACAAGTACAAATTGGTGAGTGTTTTAGCTACTTCTTTTGTACCTGAACTAAAATTGCAGCTCAGTCCCTCCCCAGTTAAGTCAAAGAGCTGTAGATTTGATCGTTTGACTCACAAGCATTGCTTCCTGTTTTGTGTTAAGCTTGGCTTTAAAGGAAATAAACAGTTAACATCATACTCTGGTGGCCTGGTAGGTAAGGAGTTGAGCTGCCAGCTCAGAGGCATCCAGTTCAAATCTGCCAGCTGCTCCAAGGGAAGAAGGTGACCAGCCTCCTCCTATGCAGTTTATAGCCTCTGAAGACCCACTGGAGGGTCAGCTGTGAGTCTCTTCCGACTCTCCAGCAACAGCCGCAACCGTGTATGTGGGAGAAGGTGAAGCAGTTTGCTGCCGTAAAGAATGACAGCGCCATAGGCCCCATGTGACAGTCCGACTCTGAGCTGTGGAGTTGTTACGAGTTGGGATCAACACAAGGGTAGGGTGTCATTTTGGTTCATCATGTATAGATGTAAAAGAAGAAGAGACATTTCTTGATGTTTTACCTAGATTACTTGCACATTTCCTCCTTTATCTCCATATTGTTCCTGCTTCTGTCATGGCAGAAAATGCTAGATTCTAAACACTCGGCCAAAATGTAGGAGTCAACAGCATTTCTTTACTAAGCGTGCAGGTCAAGAACGTCAGCGAATGCTCAAGCCATTCCAACCCCGACGGGAAGCACAGATCGGGTTTATATACAGAGATTGGGAGTTGAGGGGGTTACACAAAGTTCAGTGTGGTTGGTAATTGTGATTTGGGAGTCGTTACTGTTTCTGACTTCTCCTGAGTGTCCGGGTCCCGGGCCCGGTACAGGATGTAGTCAGGGAGTGGTAACCAAGCTGGGTCAGCTAGAGAATTTAGCAACACGTGTTATTGCCAAAATTAGTGAGGCATGTATTTCTTAAAATAGCTGTTAGAACACAATGGTTCCTCTAATGCTAACATATAAACCTTCTCTCATGCTTAACATATAAGCTGCTACTACACTTTCTCTAAAATGAATTAGAAGTTGGTTAAATTCAAATTTCATTCTGAGAATTGAAAGTAGAAGACTGAGGGTATTTGAAAACACCTATGTTGTAAAAATACCTTACTTGACCCATTCATCTGTGTTACTTTTTCCATGTATCACTTGTCCTGTTGGAATTGTGGGACTCTGGGCAAGTTACTTAACTTGTTCTGCTTCAGAGTGTCTCTATAAATGCTATAGCAGTATCAGCTTTTTAAAGCTGTAGGGATTACATGATATTATATAATCAAGATTGGCATAGCTTTGATGTTTTAAGATTATTTATGTAATACATTATTTAATACATTTCAATGGAATGTGTACTTGGAACACATAACAGTGGGAACAATTTTAGTTTTGTTTCTGTTATGGTGGTGATTCTTCCCTCAAATCTTTAGGAAGATGGGTATATAGAAACCAACAAGATCACATTATTATTGTTGCCTACTGTCAGGTAGCATTGAGGACTCTCCTTCATAGGGTCGCTATGAGTCGCTTGTGACTCGATGGCACTTAACACAACAACTGTCAAGTAGGAACCCACTCATAGGAGAATGCCATCTTTGTCCCATGGAGCAGCTGGTGGACTTGAACCATGTGCTTTTGGATGAACAGTGCAGTTCTTTTTTACCACCAGGCCACCAGAGATCATGTTACCAGAGAGCTAAAAGTGCTTAACTTCAGTGAGGAGCAAAGACTCTGAGGTTAAGATTCCCGCATGGCTTCAGTCTGATGGAAAGAAATCCCTTCTGCTCTTTACCACTGTCTCCTCTGCCTAGAGACATGTGAATTAGAGCAAGGCACTGCTTCGGATCCACCTTCACCTCCCTCAGTGGCCACACCTGGGTGACACTGGAGCACTGCAGTGGGATGGGAGGAAAAGTCAGACTTCTGTGGGGATAGACGTGGGCTCCATGGTTTGTCAGCCTTGTGCATTTGGACGATTAGGTAAAGTCTGTCAGCCACACAGTTCCCCCGTTTGAGAAGGAGATGATGAGAATGACTTTGCAGGATTCCTGTGGGAGATTGAAATGTGATCATGGATATTAAGTTCCCGGCATACTGCCTGGTATTCTGCAGTCGGTGCTTGTTGAATGGTAGGTAATTATTATTAAAATAACTGCTTGGCCTCCTTGCTGTGAACAGTAAAAATAAGACTGTGAAAAGGGCCTTTGAAAGCTATGAAACCTTGGTTAGTGGTGTTGATTTGAAAATACAAGCCTAATTCCTTTATATGTATGTATGTATGTATGTATGTATGTATATATATATGAATGATGTCAAAATAATGATTGCTCTTTTATTTCTTATTGAATGATTTGTCAAACAGTAGCTTTTAAGCTACGGATTTCTTTGTTGTTTGGTGTTTTTTTTTTCATTTGAGTGGTATAACTTTTCTAATCATATGTTGCCATAGAAACACCCCTCTGCGTTTGGTTATTCACTTGTGTAGCCTTTCTGACGGCATTGCTGTTGTGTACTGTCAGGTCAGAACTGACCCATAGCTGACCCTCCAGTGGGTTTTCAGAGGCAGTTAATCGCATGGGAGGAGATTTCCCATCTTTCTCCTGTGGGGCAGCTGGTAGATTCAAACCATGTACTTTTGGGTTGCCAGCACAACTCCTTACCATTTGGGCACCAGGCCTCCCTCCAAGGGTGTTAGTGGGTTCTCTCTGTCCACCACTGAACTTTTTCTAAAGCTTGGCTCATACTATACGTGAGCAAATGAGTGTGTGTTTGAGTGAGCAACACTGAGAACAGGCCAAGGTTGAATGATGACATTTTTACTATTTTCCTTCTAAATTAAAAAGTACATGTGCTCACTTCAACAACACATGTACTAATATTGGACAGGGAAGATTAGGATGTCCCCTGTTCAAGGATAACATTCATATTCATGCAGCATCCTATATTTTTTTCAATACGGCTAAAAGCTATCTGCAGAGATAATGCAATTCAGATCCATCTCCCATCATCATTCTTCAGAGAGATAGAAAAGGTAATCACCAGCTGTATATGGAAAGAGACCCAGGATAAGCTTCACTCACTTCTGAAGAAGGAAGTCAAAATAGGAGACCTTACACTTCCCCGTCTCCAAACCTACTCCAAATCCCCAAGAGTCAGAACAGCCTGGGCCTGTGTGAATACTCACACAGACTGTGATAGATGTGAGACTCCAGATCTGTAGGAATAACACCTTTTCATTTGTGATATTGGTCATCGTAGTCTGGTTTTTCCTTGCTCAGTCTCTCTAGCGCTAGGGAACCAGTTCTGTTGAGTGTGTGTGTGTGTGTTTACTGTTGTCAGATCTCCCTGGTACAGGAGAAGATTGCCCCTCCTTTTCCAGTAGAGCATCTGGTGGATTTGAACTGTGTGCCTTTGGACTTTGCAGCTCACTAGGCCACCAGACCTCCCTTCTATTGATCTTTTAAAAGAATCATCTTTTGACTTCGCTTTTCTGTATTATTTTGTTGGTTTTGCCTTTTTTTTTTTTTTACTCCTTTCCCTTTATTTACTTTATAGGGAACACTGGTCTAGTAGGTAGGGCCTTGTACTGCCCATCCAAAGCAAGAAGGTTTGAATCTCCCAGATGCTCCTCTGCGGAGGAAGATGGGCAGTTTCCTTCCATGTGATTTACTGCCTTTGAAAACCCATGGGAAGGTCAGCTGTGAGTTGGTTCTGGCTCAGCAGCTATGAGATAGTTAAACTCTTCTTTAAAGCCAGATTGAGAGCTCTAGTGGCCCAGTGGCAAAATGTTGTGCTGCCAGCCCGAAGGCAGGCAGTTCGAATCCTCTAGCTACTCCAAGGGAGAAAGATGGGCAATCACTTCCCGTGCATTTCAGAGCCTCTGTAATCAAGTGGTGGGTTACACACACTTTGGGCAGCATGGCCATTCTTGTCTCTGAGGAGTGATCTGATAGGCTTGTCTGTTGCGTAGCTGACTGTTGAATCATAGCGTGAGTTCAGATTCAGGCTTGAAGGATCATTACAGTCATAGTCTCAGGGGTTCTACCAGTCTCAGTCAGACCAGTAAGGCTCGTCTCTTATTATTTTGCATCTTTTTGCAATTTTTTTTTCTTCTTGCTCTCTCAGGGACCTTCTATTCTGAGCCATGATGACTGGGCATCATTTAGTTCTTCTGGTTGTAGGTTGTGGAGACCAAAGTTCACGATCCATTAGAACTTAGAATTAATATTTTCTTTCCTTCACACTGCTTTGCTCTAGACACAGAAAGAGACCAGTAGTTGTACCTTCGATGGCTGCTTGCAAGTTTCTAAGATGTCATTCACTGCTTAGCAAAGTGGGATGTAAAACATTGTCATGGGGACCTTGTTATGCCAATTCCCCTTGATGTCGCCTGAGACAATGGTCCTGAACTCCCAGGTTCTGTGCCTCATCCCTCATGGTGTTTGGTTATGGTTAAGAAATTAATTTTGCTCCCCTGTTTACCCTGTTTACAGCACAGACAGATAGGTATGTTGAAGATATGATCTTATCTGTTCATCTTGCCTGTCAGCCTGTGAATCCACGTGTAAATGAATGCCTGGTGTTACCGATAATGCCCAAGTGTGTATGTATCACTGTTTACGTCTGTTATCTGTAACTCTTTTTCACTTCTCCTTGTCTTCATCTTTCTAAATAATATTGTGTCGATCACACCCTTTTGTGTAATACCTTTTAAAAATATGACCAGTTTAGTATCACTCTTATCTCATTTATGATTTTTTTCTCTACTCCCCACCCATCCTTGATAACCATCAGTGTTTTCATCTGTGTGTAAACTTTTTGGTAACTTTTTGTGGTAGTAGACTTCCACCATCTTTGTCCTTCTGCAGCTTACTTGAGTCACTCAGCATAATGTTCTCAAGGTTTATGCACTTGTGAAGCCGTTCACAGCTACCTCTTGTTCTTTAATGTTCCATTGCATTTTATTTTTGTCCCATAGTTTGTTTATACAGTCATCGTTGAT